CTTTTACATATCTGGCTTAAAGAAGAGCAGTTGATAGAATTTATGCTTCTTCATGCATTCTTGTTGTGGTTAGTTAGGTTACAGAAGACAGAATGACAGGCCAGAACTAGAAAGAAAACAGCAGAGCAGGTAACATGCATACTGGTCATGGCCAGAATATTTAGGCCTCAGTAGATGCTCTGGGTCCTGTGGCTCAGTTGGGCTCAGCCCCCAAACGTATCAGGATGACCAAGATAAAAGACTCTTAGATCACTGCCAGGTGCCATGCAAGTTGGTGGTGGTGGTGGAAAAAGATGGAGACATTGGTAAGCTAAAACCTGGTATAGCAGGACGTTAATCCCTGCATTTGTGCTTGACAACTGACCTATCCTGTTAAGGTTGTTGCGCCAATATTTTTTCAAATTAAAAAAACATAACGCACAAGTTTTAGGTGATGCAGATTCAGGTTGTGTTTCAAATTGCAGTAGATTTTTTTCACACAGCTTGAGTAAGCCTGGTAAAATTACATATATTGCATTTGTCACTAATTATATTCTGTTTACTTTGTTATTCTTTCTAAGCATCTGATACACAGTTCGTTTCTTGCCAAGGACCCAAAAACTTTTTAGACCAGCAAGACTTACACCTCTGACTGATCGTGGTTCTGTACATGTCCGTCTTTTTTATATTCCCTCAGTCTTTAACACTGTTGACCATTCTTCTCTAAGGTTTGTGACTGGATAATGTTGCCTCATCTAATATAATTTGTATGGAAAAGCTGAGCTGTCTTTTCTGAGTATGCAGAGGAAAACTCATTGGATGACATTAGTTTATGAGGCACTACTTGGCTTGGTCAAATTTTTTTCTTATTGTACTTCTCAAAAGAACCACAGGCCATTATGCTCTAGTGATTTTGTCCAACTTGCAGTCGGTCAGAGGCAGAAAAGAACGCCTTTTGTTAAACTGTTCCGTTTGAAATAACTTTAAGTTTGTTCTTTAGTAAAATAGTGCTAGGGTGTTAAAAATGTTACAGCTAAAAATGAATTGCTGAAAAAGTATAAATATTAAACTACTTTATAAAGCTGTTGATAGTCATTGCATCTAACCTTTTTTAATGTGCATTCTTAGAATTAATGTTTGTAATAAATAAAGTTGGATATTGCTCTAGTTTAAGGTTTTCTGAAGTTTTGGTTGCTGACCTCTTGGTTAGGTGACCCTTGTAGATAAAACATTAGTCTGGACGCTGTTTTTGTTTTAATCTAATTAAGTAAATGTTACAGGGAGTGGCAGCCTTGTCATTAGGACATAGAGCATGGAATCCTGAGGTTCTGAGTTCGAGCCCCACTCTCACAGACTGCCACTCTGGGTCTCTGAGCAAGACTCTTAACCCCACACTGCTCCCTGGGCACCCAACAATGTCAGCCCACTGCTCCCCAAGGGGATGGGTTATATGCAGAGGTAAATTTCTCCAATGTGAGATCGAAAGAGTTAAGAATTTTTTTTATTTTTATTATTCCTATTTTTAAATAATGAAAAACCTGTACCTGTATTTTTATCCTTTGACCATGAGATGGCACTCTATTACCAACAGACAATTCAAAGTTAGAGCTCTAACAGCAAACACAGCTTTTCTATCCTGCTCACATGAATTGTTCTTTTTTTTTTTTTTTGCCATTGCTTTTTAAATATGACAATATTAGCGATTTTTGTGTAAGTAAACACTGACACAATAGCTAGATGATTTTAGGACATCTTCCTGTGGTTCAAATATCTTGCCATATCTTCTTTACCAGCATCAACATTCATTCCTATTATTTAACAAACCCCACAACCTCAGGTTTGCAGTCATTTAATGTTAAATTAGCACCAATTTATTTATTTTGTCTGCAGATCTTTACAAAATAGTGTTTAAAAAGATTGTATTTTGAAAGGTGTCTGTATTTTTGGCCTGCAGAAGTGTGATGGATGAGGAAGAGGTGGGGTTTAAAGACAGCACTTAATTTAGGTAGTGTTTCACTCTTTGCAATGTTCTAGCTTCCCTACGCTCATCTGTATTTTACTCTCTAGAGCTGCCAATATTGTTCGTTTCATTGCTTCTGACTGATAAATGACAGATTGCCAAATGGGTAAGATACATGCTTTGATGTTTTTTCATTGCTTCACATTGAAAGTTATTGAGTTTTTGACTGATTACTTTAGATATCAACAGAGACATTTTCATTGCTGTATGTTTTTTGCACTTCCTTTTTATGCAAAAATGAAGAAAAGCAATTAAAATTACAACAATGTATATTGAGGGAGGAATTGTTTTTATTTCTTATCTGGAAAACATTTTTTTATTCAGCTTTCTCTCAATGTGATTTTTTTTTATGACTCTCTCTCTCTGATATTTTAAATGTAACAGGGGATAATTCAAACATATTTTTCATATTATAGTCGGAACTATGCCCCATATGTTTTGAGTGGCTTTACAATTTCTTTAGTGTCTATATTGCAATATAAATGTACCGGTAGATAGAATATATTACATGTTGTCTTTGAATCTAAGAAATCAGCTTCTGGTCCACATATCAAACACTTATTGCTGTCAGCTACCAGCATTGTGGAAAATGGATACCTCTCCAAAATGCAGAACAGACTCATAGTCACTCATATGACTCTGAATCAGTGGTAAAACTCACAAAAACTAAACCGAAGCTGTTTCTATGGCCAGAAAGGTACATTCTGTCTTTTAATTCAAGCAAGGTCTTTTAATAAGAAACCCACCATATAATTCTGTTTATGTGATGAGTTATGCCAGGAAACCTTGCTGCTTATGATGTCTAAAGGAAGGGTGGAGAAGTAGAAGTCTTGTGGTCGGATCATTAACAGCAAACAACTTACATATCACTAAGGAAGTCTTGACTGCTGCCTTTTCTGTAACTAAATATGAAGCAGATTTTCATGATGACGTTTTTCAAGATATTTCTTCCTGGAAATGATCATAACAAAGAAGCTTTTGCATGAAAACATAATAATATCACTGTTTCGACCTTTTGCTAATTACTTTGGAGACCAAAACAGGATGAAACTATAGAAACTAATAACTCAGCCTTCAGGGAGAAGTGCTTGTTTAAATGAAAAATCTTTAAAGCAGCAGGTTTCTAAGGAGCTCTCATCTGTACTCCCTAAGAGATAAATCTTTTCACCTGAACAGAAAAGTCATGAGAAATTATGCTAGAGTTAATTTAGAAGTAATTTTAGAGCAAAATTCTTACACATACCTAATCTTTATAAGAAACATTCAAATAAGCCATGTTTGTTTTCATAGGAAGTAAAAAGAACATCATATACCTGGTATTTAGAAATGTGTGAGAATGAATGGTGCTAACAATGTTTGCATTGTCATGTTTATTGGGAAATGTATGTTTGGTGACTGATGCAAACAATATGTTTACAACACATAAAAAGGAAGGGGATAGAGAAAGTAGATGGTGGAAAAGCAATCAGGGCAGGAAACATGTCATAAAGCAAAATGTTGGGCATATTCACAGAACATTTTGCAATATGAAAATATGACCAAATTGAAGGGAATATGGAAACAAAGTCTTTTTATATTGTGTTAATACTCTATTGCGGCCTCAGTTGACCACCTAGCTCCAAAAGATTTCTTTAAAAAAAACAAAAAACACTGTAGTCCTTCTTTAAGAACGTAAGCTCTATGTTTCATGTGCATCAGTAATGCAATTTATGGAAAAAAAGCATCTAACTAAAATGATACATCTCTAAACTATTCAGGGATATATATACATAGGTTTGAAGAGGTGTGAAGGTTCAGAAAATAAACACACATCAGCTGTCTTCTTTTGGCTACGTGTTCTTCTTGTCTGTCCATCTTTTAGAAAATGTATTATCATTCATGAGAAAACCACAACACCTGGCCAGACTTCTAGAGAAATCCTTTTTCCTCCTGCTGCAGTCTTCTTAATATAAACACATAAATTAAAAGAGCAGAGAGAGTAGCTTTACATTTAGAGGCTTGTTTTACACTAGTAATTTTAAGAAGATTGCTTGTTTTAATAGCTTATTATTTTTGACGGAATATACAAACATGACAAAAGTGTTGATGAACCTGGATCCAGGCTGACATTTTTATCATCATCTCTTGTCCAGTTTCCTCAGATTTTACAGCTGATGAAAGGATGGAAATTGAAAGCATCAAAATGTATAAAAAAGACCTTCTGGATGACATCCAGGTAATATTTCATCCCCTTTACAAGATGCCAAATTAAATATTTTTTATGCTTTTAGTTGTAATACATCTTATTAAAAAAGCTTTTTTTTATTATGAAAAAAATGTCAAAACATTTTTCCTGACACAATTTCCAGAAGTTGAAATTGGAGATAGATAACGTCATGGCGGAAATCCTCAGCTTTGAGTCTGCAGAAGAAAAGTAAGTTCTAGTCTGGGAAAAACCCTTCGCTTTTTTGACAAACCACACTGTCTTTTTATGTCTTTAATCTCATTTAAATACCTGCCAGGGATTTAACCAAAACTTTGAAATGTCTGAAAGTGTATGTTCTAGATTTGGTCACTTTTTAAATTTTTATTTTATTTTTTAATGAGATCATTTTCGGGGGGTTCAGCGCTTGTTTCAAGAGCTTGTTTTACTTAGTAATATAAAAAGTACTGCATATACTGACTGAAATTAATTCAACTTAGCATTGTAAAGAGTAGATGTCCTTGATGTCCTTGATAAGATTATCATGTGCTTTTTTTGGTGTATTATTAAGACCTCATGTCCGAAAAGCTTTGTTTGTTTTTTTTGTTGTTGTTTTATATCATTACATTGCAAGCAAGATTGTTGCAAGATTTGTAAATTTACAAACTCCTGAAAATACCATGTAAAACTCAAATTGAACGACAGGTATCAGTGTGGGTTGTATTAGGTTATTATCTTCAAGCTTCTCTCCAAAAAACAAAATGCAAGTGTTGCTTTTTGGTCAGCTGAATGATTCCAAATCTTGGAGTCTCCATTTTGTTACAAGAATATCAAAAAAGACTTTATTAAAATTATTTTGTAGGGAATTTAATATTATGAAAGATAAAATTGTAGTTGGATTTGATACAGTTTTTGGCATAAAGATCTTAATGATCAGCGGCAGCTAAATCCATTAAGCATGTAATTAAACACAAGAAAAAACAAAATCAAACAAACTTTGGCCTTGGTTTCTCAATTTTTACTGTTACTCCCAACCTAATAAATGCTACATTTTCAAAGCATTAAGACGCAGTTGGTCATTTAACGCAAGAGGATTAATAGATTAATTTTTTTAACAGATATTTTTGATTTCTTGTGTTACAATTTTTCAGCTGTTAATTCAAAAAAGTTACCAGAAAGCGCTTGAAGTCAAAATTCCTAGAATCTCAGGATTTTTACCAACTTTGACCTAAAAATTCAATATGGCTACCTTGCATATAGAACTTTGTATTGGCTGCGGCAGACATACTGTGTATCAATCTTCCACTTATTTGTAATTCTTATTATAATCCTTTGGTTGCTTAATGGATTGAAGGCACAGAATGCCAAAAATAAAAACTTCAATAGCACAAATTGTTAACCATTTCAGTATCAGTTACCAAATCTCATTGGTTGTGTGAGATTTTATGTTGTTCTTCAGAACATAGACATGCAGTAGATGCAGCTACATATTTTCCCTATTCACCGGTCAAGTGCTGGGAATTTTCACAACTATAAATTCCACCTGGATAGACTCCAACAGAGAAAAGCTGAAATTAGAAATCCATCCATCGATTTTCTAACAAGCTTATATCTGCGGGGGTCAAGAGTGCATGCCTCCACTGAGCATGCATGTAGTGACAGAGGAAAGAAAAACTGCCTTTTAACAGGAAGAAACCTCCAACAGAACCAGGCTCAGTGCGAGAGAAAACAACAACAAAAAAAAAAAAGTGGATGCCATCTACTGAGGACGTTTGGGGTTAAAGGAGACAAAAACAGACATACAGATATTGACATGAATGAAATAAGTTCTTTGGCACTCAGGCCCTGGCAGAAGACTGATGCTGAGAATCAACATTTGCTAGAATGAGTAACCTAGGAAAAGGATTAGAGTGTTTTCCCCATGGGGCCTGGACACTGGTAGAATAAGCCAGAGGGTGAGAAAGACTGAGAATGAATGGTCTGAGAATGAGGGGGGAGATTGGGTGGTGGTGGGGGAAAGTTCGCTGGCATGTGGGAGAGAGAAGCTGGGCCAGGAGCTAAATAAATGGGATCTGGAAAGATAATTAGCTTTGCAGGGGGGTACAGTTCTGTTGATTGGAGCTAAACAAGGGACACTGCAGGTGGTTCAGGTGAAGCTGATAAGAGCCGTCTAGATTAGCTTAAGCTTCATTTCTTGGTGCAGAGATTTCTTTGGAGTAATGGTTGAGACAGCTGAAGTTCCATCAGTGGTCCTTGTACTGCAGTTAATGAAAGAGATGTACAGGATAGCTTAAGATTCATAGAATACAAAATCTGCCTTTAGTGATAACTTGAAGAATCCACTTGGATCAAACTATAACATTGCATCTCACTTATCAATTGCTATACATTGACAACCGCTTTGACAACCTAATCTTAAAGAATACATAAATAAAATACTAATTATTAACATTTTTTCTTTGAATGTTTTCTAATTTACAGCAAAACTAATGAAAAGAATCAACAATTTATAAACGGAAAGAAGAAATTTAACATGGACCCAAAAAAGGTAAACCAAAATACAATCTAATTCTTTTCCTATGTTAGATGAGGTACAGTTATGAATAAAAATGTACTTTGTTTGGCTCTTGTTTTCTTCTTCTTCTTTTCTGTTTTCTATAACTTCTCTCTTCTTAGGGGTCTAAAAAGGTTTTAGCTGAACTTACTGAGCATATCTTGACACAGTTGTGTCACTTCCGCTCTGCTCTTCTCTGTTGCTGTAAGCCTGTAAACCACACTGACAAAAAGCCCACAGTGAAGTTTCTGTGGTTTTGCTGGCAGGTCAAGCATTTAGCTGTAGTAGGTGCAAATACAAGAAAACTAAGATGTTGTTTGTTTGGGTGGGATACATTTAACTTTAAAATAGTTACATTTGCTAAGTTTGTTGAAATAAATATTTCTTTCTTTCGTAACAATATCTAAAGAAATATGGAAAATATTTACCTTCCAGATGTGAAAAAAACCACATTAGATCAGAGTGGAATGAGACATGGGCCAGAAATGTGTAACAAAGAGAATTCATTATCAGACTTTCTTCTCAAAGCCCTGTGATGGAGAAGAAAGAGGAAGAGAGATTAGTTTTAAGGAATTGGGATTGAGGAAGCTCTAAACCCTCATTTTCTAGCCACATATGAGATCACTTAAGAAAAAACTAAATGTTGCATGGAGGGCAGTGTTTGGGAAGCAACATCTGTGACAAATTCTGGAGGAAACTACTTATAAATGGCAATAATTTCTGCTGACTTTAAAACTTCAAAATGCCTGAAAATGCACTTTTTTTAAACAGTATAGTCTCAACAGGAAGGTGTAGATGTTATAAAATGATCAGATCTGTGACTAATGTACTAAAATGACAGTATTTTCTCTTAACTTTGTAAAATTCCCATCATGTGAAAAGGGCATCAATTATCTGGTGGAGAACAAGCTGCTGGATGGAACCGCTAGATCTATTGCAGAGTTTCTTTACAAGGAAGAAGGACTCAACAAGACAGCCATTGGAGAGTTCCTTGGAGAAAGGTAATAAAGACGGGATATGGATTAATGGGTGGAGGAAGGTAAAAGGGACCTGGGAAAAAGAGAGAGGTTGGAAAAAGAAGAAAGTACAGACCATGAATGGATATTAAGCCTTTTATTTGTTTATTAGACTCTTGTAAACAAAAATAACAAAAAAAGAGCCAAGTTATAAGCAATAATTAATAATACTTAGTGAGATGATGACTGTAAGAGGCTGGCTTTTTTATAATTATATTAAATGTTTTTATTTTTATTCTCCATCGAACAGAGAAGAGCTCCATCTTCAGACACTGAAGGCCTTTGTGGAGCTGCATGAGTTCGCTGACCTCCACCTGGTTCTGGCTCTCAGGTCAGTCACTGTTATGTGTGTCTGCATCATGTTGCAACCAGGCTCAAAATTGGAATTATTTTGCCATTGTTGCTCTTTCCTAGAAATAGAGCACTTTTACTGAATACTTCTTATCACACAAATTAAAACATTTAAATTCTTAAAGCAGGCTGCAAGAGGCAACAGCTTCTAGTATCCTGCCTTGTGGCAAGAAGGTTCTGGGTTCGATTCCTGGCCCAGGACCTTTCCGTATGGGGTGTGCATGATCTTTCTGTACATGCATGGGTTCTCACCAGATACTCTGGCTTCCTTCCACAGGCCAAAAACATGACTGTGAGGTTAAGTGACTCTTTTAAATTGTTCGTATGTGTGAGTGTGCATGTACATGGTTGTGTTAAAATATGTATAAAATGATTATAAATAATAAGGTAAAAAAATTATCATTTATTCATTTACGATAGTTTTGTGAATAAAATGGATGCATCTCTAGTTATCATAAATAATTCGCATTTACAAAAAGGACTGTCGCAACTTTTAGTTTATAAATTTGTGGCTCATTTGGCTTACCATTCTTGCTGCAGTCAAAATAGTCCCTAATTTTGGCTTCCACTTGTGCGACATGCTTCAACTTGAACTCAAAATATAAACCTTTCTTTAGTCGTCGGGGTTCTAGCAGCAGTATCTTTTATTCATTACCGGTCACATTAAACTCAGAACCTGTACTTGTGACAGAAAGATCCAGGGACATTTGCAACCTGATTTTAAGTTGTATCAACCTGCTTATTTGAATTATTTAATTCCAGCAAACTCAGAAATTAGACCGAAACAACCCTGATGGACAGAATAAATTACTGCAAAGAAGAGCTGGAATCACAGAAAATAGAGATCAGCACAGTGGAAACATCCTCCAAAAATAAGACCTACTGCAAATATATCCACAATGCAACACAAAAAACATATACAAAGTAAAAAAGGATGCAAGAGGCAAAAGCATCTGCAAGTTGAGAACAGGTGAAAACTAGCCCAAATTGACAGAAGTGCTCCAGATCACTCGGGATAGATGATCATAGATCATAGCTCATATGCAATGTTTTCGTCAATGATGACGACGATAAGATTATTTAGTTGAGGCTCCTTTTTTTAATGATGATAACGAAAACTGACGAGCTAAACGTGGATCTTTGATGACGAAAACATTATGACTCATGGGTGTGAAATTTTATCAATGAGACAAACTAAATAAAAATGTTAGCGGGTGTTCTGTCAGACCTTTAAAATGGATCATTGTCCTGTAATCTGCTAAACACTATCAGTCGTATTATGGACGGTTGCAGCAGCAACAGGAGAGAAAATGAGCCGGAATCGGAAATTTCAGATCAGACCCTATGAATTTAAATCCCCTGCTCAGTGGTAAACAAGGGGTAAATATTTAGAAATAAAGCCAAAATTTCCAAAGCAGAAAGAAGAACGTTTTTGTTCTTTGCTTTTTTTGGAGCAATGAAGATTTTATTGATCTGTGCGTAATGCATAATTCATATTAGATCAAGAAGTGTTTGCTTTTGGATGAAAACATTGTTTGTTTAAAACCAAAAACTTTATTGTAAGATTTATTAGCTTGATCTTTGAACTAGATCTGCTATTTTCACAACTTTTGTGAGACATTTTTGTATCAAGTAGGGCATTCATAAAACAGTTTATTTGAATTCTACAAATGAAAGTGATAAAGTGCACGGCAGCATTGTATCTCCAACAATTGCAGTATTTAGGCAAGAGCTGTGAGTCTGGTTGTTATTGAAATAGTAAAAGTTAGCTATTTTATGACATGAATCATAAAACTGACTAAAACTAGACTAAAACCTTTTTGAGTTTTAGTCCACTAAAACTATCATATATTGTAATGACAAATGTGACTATAACTAATAACATTTTTCGTTCTAAAAACAAGAACTAAGACTAAGTCGAAGATGGCTGTATGGGACTAAAGTATGGGACTAAAACATGGACATTGTTATGAATGAAACACTTAGAGCCTGATCTTCAAAGATTTCCAATAAGGACTACTAAATTGCATGAACGTTTTTCTTATACCTGCAATAAGTGGGCCTGTTGTAAGTGATCTACAAAATTGCTGTGCAAATGTTAGGACCTGCAAACCGATTTGGTTCCTCCCATTAAAAATAAGTAGATTGCTTGTTCTAAAGCCAGCTTGACAGTGGTCATAAAGAAAGATGAGATTCAAAGCCATAAGGTTGGAGGTAATAACGATAATTATTTAAAAACTAGCAATGACAGTACTAAATAATATAATGCACCACACACAGGTAGCCTTCTACAGACTGTTATGAACAACAGTAATAAATAATATGAAACATAAATGTGAAGAAGCACGGCCTGGCGTGTATGAACCCTTTTGCATCCTTTTTAAGATACACCAATCTTTTCAAGACAAAGCCCTTAATCTGTTTTAGCATCCCATCTATGCCTTTATTAAGGTTCTGCTCCCATATGAGTTAAAAGTTGTCTCCCCCTAGTGGTCTGGAGCACTTTAGTTACGCAACACCAATTCGCAGCTCTTCTTAACATTCAGATGTTTTCACTCCTTGCAGCATTTTTCTCTTGTATGTGTCATATAAGTTTGTCCCTTCATCTGATTTTTAAGTTTGTTTACCTATTTTCTTTATTTTTTACTTTGCTGAGAAGTTATGTATTTACATGGCATCTGCAGCCCTCGGTCATTGTTAAAAATCACATTTGGAAGAGCATAACTGTTGATTTGTTTTGTTTGTTTTGATTTATTTCAGCCTTACATAAATACTAAAATGTATATATTTAATTCAATAGACTTATTCTTCAGCTTCAAAAATTTACAACACCTGCCATTTCAGAAAACGTTACAGAATCAACTCAGTCAGATCATACAGACAGACTGGTGAAAAGTTTTCCATATAGTTAGTGACAGTAAAATCTGAGCCCATAGGTTTGCCTTAGAGAGAAGCACTGAAAAATATGGCAGGCTGTGTCATCTATAATTAAGGCTGTTAATGGCAGCAGCCGGACTGATGCGTTCCTCCAGGATGGTGTCATAGCTAAGCAGGGCCCGGGCCCAGATGAAGCTACTATAGCGAAAAAAAGCAGAGAGAACATGAAGATAAAGCTTATAATAACAAATAATGCAGATCTGGAGAATAGAAGCAAAGAATAGCAGAACAGGAGAAGTGCTTTTTAAGGCCCTCAAGCAGGACATAAAGGCCAGTAGTGTATCTTGCTATCTAAGACTAATGCTGTGTTAAATTAATTAATTCCTGATGCCTGCAAATGTTTTTTGTGAGTTTATATAGATGTTCATGACTGTGTCAAATTGGCATTTATATCATTTCATACTACAGCAATTAGATACGCTGTTATTTCAATTTCGTCAATATCAAACAATTTTTAGCCATAGACGGCCATCCTAAACTGCCACATTGGGAAATATCCCAACAATGCACGTAAGACAGGAAACGTAAGCCTTTAGATGCAAAACCCAACATGCACCGCAACATATTTTTGCAAAATATTCAAACATAAATTCGCCAAATATAAGAGGAACATCGAAGTTTGGTTTAAAGAAAGCATTTTAGTTGTATTATAATTTAGTTTGTTGCAGGGATTTTACAGTTTGAAGAAATAGAAAATTACACCACATGCCAACCGTCATGAGGATGTGCATGACAAGGAAGGGCTGCATATACTGTACTGCATGCATCATTTGCATAGTTAACAATGTATTACTTCTTGAGCCCCTATAGTTATTTAGTGTCACAGTTAGGTGCTTTGTTAATGACAGATTACCAGTCCGAGCCTGTATATACATACATTATATATATATATATATATATATATACATATACCAAGATTTCAGTTGAATCTGAATCATTTAGAAATAACCTCTCTGCCTTAAAGGCAGCCACAAACTAAAGGTGGGCTTTGTGATACATCAAGTGAGGGGCAGCTAAAATGTCAACACCAATGGAAAGTCACGTCTGGCTGTTTGATGTGTCAGCGACTGACACATTTAACCTTTTTGAATATTTTTAACGCCATCTAGTCTGTAGGTAATTTTCTTGTTTAAAGAAATTACCTACAGACCTATTTGTCTAATTCCAAAATTTTTGAGAAGTGAAAATCAGTTGCAAAAGCTTTAGTTTAGATAAGTAAAGTAGATTTTTGTACACAAATGTATTTACTCTAAATACAATGTTGAAAAGTTCACAGCACGTCCTATTTACCTCTTTTAATCAACTGCAACTTGGGCATAAAAATAACTGTAAACTAGTTTTATTAACCAAAACACATTGGCTTTAAGTGGTGCTTTCATGACAGGAAATGAATTGTATAATTGTAGCAAAAAGAAATTACCCCAAAACAGCAAAAATAAATGCCTTTTTTTTTTTTTTTTTATGAATGCTATTTGACACCCAAAATTATTTTGGATCATAATTCAAAGCATTCAGGCAGGTGCTTATATTTAAAGGACATAAATAAGCAAGTGCGTGTGAAGAGAGATACATTTTATATGTGCTTTGCAAGCAAACCAGCCTATAACTCATCCAAAATGACTAGTATATCTTTACAGTAGTAGCCAACAATGTTTCTTTTTAAGACTCACACAAAGTATGGTCAATGTATTTCATCAAAGGGGTAAAACCAAAATGTAGAAGTTGAGGCATATGCAGACACATGATGTACCTACAGCTGCTTACCTCAGACCTAACAGCTACCTACTTTCGTCTGTGGATGACAGATATATCATGTTACTGTGGTGTTTATGTGACAGACAGTTTCTGTGGAGTTTCCGTTTGCCTGGTGAAGCACAGAAGATTGACCGAATGATGGAGGCTTTTGCCGCACGCTACTGTGAATGCAACCCTCATGTCTTCCAGTCTACAGGTCAGATTACTACAGGCCTACTTCCTCTCTGGATTTAAACTGTGTGTGTGCTATGTGTCAGGTCTGTGCTGGTGAAGCACAGAAGATATATTTATATGGTCACATATGAAACCCTCCCCCCCTTGTTCTGCTGAACTGAAGTTTATTTCTATTCAGGGCTATATATATTTTCTCTGAATCAAATAAGATTGATACAAAACAGCTATAGTCGCCTCTTGAATTTTTTTCAACAAGTCTCAAAAAAACTGAAATCCATTATTGTGTTTTATCATGAATAGAAGTGTTAGACCAACATGAAAAAACATAATTATCTAGTATAAAGAAATTAATAAATAGCTTTTAATATTTAAAAAAAAATCTTAGTTTGAAAAGTGTAATATTTGTTTTTATTTGTAGGGTGTGAGTTACATTTTTGTAATATCACATTCTGCTGCAGCTAACGATACAATCTTTTGAAGAAGGTGTCACACGTTTGCACACGTAGAGACTGAACACTTCATAGATTGTTTTTTGTTTAATAGATCAAGCTAATTTAGATTGAATGTGGAGGATCTATAAACAGCTCCTAATTGTAAGGCAAGCTTTTACACTGGTGTCAAGTTGTTTTCAGTCTGCAGGGTTTTCTAAAGGATTATCACCACAATGTTCCACAGAAGGATTCATGTATTTGCAGATTTTTATCATTGGCATTCATTCCTGCATAGCATGTTGTATGTATGTTAAAAACACTATATTTTGCTCCTTAGAGGAGCAGAGCAACTTCTTGCATTATTAAGCAATAACCCTATTTTGCAATCTTTGAGTTTGACTTCTTATGACTTTCTTTCAATAATTACTTTCTACAGACCATTCTTTCGTAATTGTTGGAGCGTGTGACTAAAAGTTGTCTTATCGACTGATTCTCCAACACTATCATTTCTCTGCAGCCAGAGTTCCCAAAGTCCTCTATTAAAATTATGTAATAACTATAGATTCGGAGATGCTCTGAAAGATTTTGTAAAGGTTGGACTGTTGTTTTATATCGAACCCAGCTTTAAATGTGTCACCACTCCCTGGCCTGTCCACCACGTTTCCTTTTATTCATGATGCTGTTTGTTCACTAATGCTGTCTAGCAACCCCTGGGTCGCCATAGAACACAGACAGGTGGACTCTATTTACCAATTGATTGACTTCCGTAAACCTCTAGCTGTACTGGATTTTGGCAAAAAAGAATTGTCTAACAAAAAGACAAAAACCTTTCTGATTTTTACCAGTTAAAGAAAACATACAAACCATATTTAATCTTTTGCTTAACATTACATAGCATTTCTTTTTTTTAATCTAAAGCAAAAAATACAAAAAAAAGAATACTAACACACTGGAGCAGGTAGTTGTGATGTGATAAAATGCAAACATGTTGAATGTGCAAAAAAAAGCTTTTGCTAGGTAATATTATATAATACATGGTTTTAACATGATTTTATTTACATGCCTTTACTTTTAATCCAGACACATGCTACATCCTGTCTTTTGCCATCATCATGTTAAACACAAGTCTCCACAACCCCAATGTGAAGGACAAAACCACCCTGGAGAGATTTATCTCGATGAACAGAGGCATCAACAATGGGGAGGATCTACCCAATGAGCTTCTTTCGGTGAGACCTTTCTGCTCATTTTAGCTAGTATAATCAGTATT